GGTTCTTGTGTTCTCCACAAGGGCACAGCTCAGTTAGGTATGTGTTTGTGCCCTTCCCAGGTCCGAGCAGCTCAGGCGACCAGGTGCTTGGCAAGCGCATTGTCCCAGTTGGGCTATGCATCTTAATCACCTCCCAGGTCCTGGCTGCTTGGTTTTCCCGGTGCACTGTGAGAGCACTGTCTCTGTTGTGCCGTGTGTCTCATCTGGGGAGCTGATCTCAGGCTGCAACCCTCCTGGCAGATGTCAATTGTCTAGGATCCCAGGAATATGTGGTTAGCAACTGGGAGCCTGCTCACAGTTTGGCAGAGGATGCCAGTCTCTGGGGCTGAGATTGCCCCTTGCCTTCTGGCTCTTGGTATCGCACACCTGCCTCTCTGCCTCCAGTCAGGGAGGGGCCTGTATGCAGCAGCTAGCTCTCCTTTGGTAATCGCTCAATCCTTTGTTCTGTGAGTGGGCCAAGCTGTGTGTTAGGTTAGAATCTTTCATGGGAAAGTTCTTTTCTTTTTCTCTCTGGTTATCCCACAGTTGGGTTGCTATCTCACATTAGCTCCCTCAGATTGTCCTCAGGGCATTCAGGCCCAGTCCTTACCTTAAACATGCAGCCCGCGCCTCCCTGTCCAGCCCCTCTTTGGTGGCTGGACATGAGCGTCTGGGCTACTTTTCCACTGGGAATGGCGGTTAGGCATGTATTATGCGGGTTTTTTTTTCTCCCAGTTTTGTTGCCCTCTGAGATTCCAAAACTGCCCACCGACCTGCTGGTGAGAGGGTTTCCTGGTGTTTGGAAACTTCTCCTTCATGACTCCCTGCCCAGGAAAGGTCTTGGTCCCTAACTGTTTTGTTTCTCTTTTTGTCTTTTATATTTTGTCCTACCTTCTTTTGAGGAGAATGGGCTGCCTTTCTGGGTGCCTGGTGTCCTCTGCCAGAATCCAAAAGTTGTTTTATGGATGTTGCTCAGCATTCAGATGATCTTTAGATGAATTTGTGGGGGGAAAAGTGGTCTCCCCGTCCTATTCCTCTGCCATCTTGGGACCGCCCCTCTATATTTTGAGTTATTTTCTTAATTGCCTTGGGGATTAAAATTAACATCTCAATTTAAAACAGTCTAGTTTGAATTAATACCAACTTAATTTTAATATTATGCAAAAACTTTGATCAAGCATAGCTTTATTTCTTGTCTCCTCCTTTGTGCTATTATTGTCATACAATTTTGTACATTTTAAACTGGTATTCTTTTTTTCTAATGTAGATTTAAGTTATTGTCTATTTTCATTTCATCTTGAAGGAGTCTCTAGTGTTTCTTATAGGGTAGCTCTCTACAAATGAGACAAATGAGAGTTTTTCTCAAATTTTCTTTATGGAGAATTTCCTATTTTCTCCTTCATTTTTCAAAGGTTAGTTTTGCTAGATATATAATTCTTCATTGACCATGTTTATGTTTCAGTGCTTTGAATATCGGAGAAGGCAATGCACCCCACTCTAGTACTCTTGCCTGGAAGATCCCATGGACGAAGGAGCCTGGTAGGCTGCAGTCCATGGGGTTACTAAGAGTCAAATGCAACTGAGCGACTTCACTTTCACTTTCCATTTTCCTGCATTGGAGAAGGAAATGGCAACCCACTCTAGTGTTCTTGCCTGGAGAATCCCAGGGATGGGAGAGCCTGGTGGGCTGCTGTCTATGGGGTCGCACAAGATTGAAGCAACTTAGCAGTATAGCCTCTGTAGTTTCTGATGAGAAGTCAGTTGTTAGTCTTGTTTAGGATCCTTTGTATGTGATGATCTGCTTTTCTGTTCTTTTTGTTTTGTTTTGTTTTTGTGTTCTTGATTTCAATATCATCTTTCGTCTTTTGCTTTTGATGGTTGAGTGTATTTTTTCATAGGTGTGGATATGTTTGAATTTTTCATAATTGCAGATTTTTGTATTTTTTGGATTATGCAGATTAATAGTTTTCATTAAATTTGGGAAGCTTTTAGACATTATTTCTTCAAATAGTCTTTCTGTTCCTTATTCTCTGTCCTCTCCTTCCAGGACTCTCTCATTATATGCATTTTGGTACTGCTTGATCTTTGATATCACACAGGTCTCTGAGGTCTGTTCATTTTCTCTTCTTTTTTGAAGAAAAATTTTATTTAATTCTTAAATAACAACAGTTACTTAGTAATGGGATTTACGCAGCTATTGTGTACTGCATAACTCCTCAAATCTTGGAGTCAGATAGATTGGACAAGACCACCCTCATTTCCTGTTTTACATTGATGTTTAAAAAAATTTCTTTTTACTGGAGGATAATTGCTTTACAGTGCTGTGATGGTCTTTTCTTTTTCCTGTTCCTCAGACTAATTTCAATTGACCTTTTTCAAAATTTGGTGATTCTTTCTTCTGATAATTGAAATCTGCTGTTGAACCCCCTAGTGTATTATTTTTTATTTCATTTATTACCCTTTTCAAGTCCTGAAGTTCTATTTGGTTCTTTTTTTAAATAATTTTTTATCACTTTATCAATAGTGTGAGACATTGTTCTTACACTTTCTTTTAATTCTTTAGACATGATATTTTAAAAGTTCTTTGTCCATATATAAATAACTGATTTTATATCTTTGCTTAGTAAGTCCAATGTTTGGGCTTGCTCAGAGGCAGGTTCTGTTGACTCTCCCCCCTTCCACCATATATGGGTTATACTTTTCATTTCTTTGCATGTCTCCTAATTTTTAGTTGAAATTTAAATGTAATATAATGCAGCAACTCTGAAAATCAGGTTCCCTACTCCTTCCTAGGGTCTGTTGTTGCTGGTGATGTTTGTTTTTTTTTAGAGACTTTACTGGACTGATTTAATGACTTTTTTGTGGGCTAATTTTGTTATATGTGGCTACTGACATCTGTTCAGTTAGCTTAGTGGTCAGCTAATGATTGGACAGAGATTTTCCTAAGTGCCCAGAACCAGTATATCTTCCAGACTTTGTCAAGGTTTTTTTGTGTGTGTGTGTGTTGAAACTTACCTTCAACACTCCTGTGCAGAGCTTCAGAGTTGTCACAAAATGAAAGATTAGGGCCTTCTAAAATCTTCCCTAAGCATTCATAGAGCCATGCACATACATATAGCCTTATAGATTTGTAGGAATATCTCAGTGCTTTTCTGAGTGCCCTAATGGACATCTCATTCTCCAGTTTATTTGGTCAAGCTTTTTGTCAGCCCCAACTGATAATCCTGCCTCAGGGAGCTTCACTGCTAAACATTTGCCACTATTGTGGCTTTTTTGGTTTTGATTTGGTTTAATTTTTGACCAGTGCTTTGGAGATAGGACTGTTCACACAGAGCAGCCTCTGATTTAGGTCAAATAAAACAAACCCAGAGATGAGAGGTTTTCAGTGACAGTTCTCTGGGGTGGAGCTTTTGCAGAATTCCAAATGCATTGTGCCCCTTCCAGTGGGGGGAAGCTAAAATGTCACAGAATTTGTTGTTTTGAGATTCAGCCATTTTTCTAGAATAAACCTCTTTTTGGTTGTTGTATCCCCTGGAGAAGGGATAGGCTACCCATTCCACTATTCTTAGGCTTCCCTGGTGGCTCAGACGGTAAAGAATTGCCTGTAGTGCAGGAAACCTGGGTTCGATCCCTGGATTGGGAAGATCCCCTGGAGAAGGGAATGGCTACCCATTCCAGTATTCTGGCCTGGAGAATTCCATGGACAGAGGAACCTGGCAGGCTACAGTCCATGGAGTCACAAAAGTCAGACATGACTGAGTGACTTTCACTCACTCAAGCCTTTTGTTAACATCCAGAATTTTGAAGAAGTTGATTTTGCCAGTGCTGTCATTAGTTTTATGAAGAAGTGGAAAGTCCTTAATCAGTCATCTTGGAAATGCCTCTCTATGATGACTTTTAAAGTACTTTGTAAATTATCTGGCTTTTTCTAGTTACTCTGCAGGAACAGTTTCATGCCTTAGCTCACTACAGTGCCCAGAAACAGAAGTCAAGAATCAATTTTATGTTTGTATCAATCCCAGATAGTAGACCATATACTAGCTTCATAAACTTTTCATAAAGTATTATAATGTTGTAAGTAAAAGGTAAGTAAAGACTTTTTCTGATCTTGCTATAATTCTGAAGTGTAAATATCTATAGAAAACTGTAGAAACTGTATACTTTAGTGTTCAAATTTTCTGTATCAGTAAATTGGTATGAAAAAAGTCAGTTATTTCTTTTCTTAGAATTTAACAGTCCTAATTGTAGAAATACGTCTTATTCACTGAAATATGGTTTGCCTGTTGATTTTGTAGTTGATGATTAAAAATAAAATCAAATGTCGAGAGTGCTCTTAGACTCATTCATAATCAGTCAGTAACTGGATGGTTAAAAATTACTTATCAGATGATTTTAAGGCTCATGTCTGACCCTTAGCCATTTTTAACTAGATGAAGTTTGACTTTGGTACTTTGTCATTGCAGTCTCTCTCCTTTCTGAAGATCTATTATCCTACTTTATAGATTTTTATTGTACTTTATTTTTCCTTTTAGTTGGAGATTAAATCAAAATACTGATTCATTTCAAGATTATGCCTTAAAGAATGGTCTTTTAAGAAGAAATGCATTTGGTTGAATGTTAAGTAAGCAGTAGAATTGTTGTAAGAGTAGCCCTAGGCCAGAATTGTTACCTATAAAATGGAGTGTTCTTTGTACTCTATCTACTTTAACTTCTCTGAATTCTTCACCTTTGTTGTTCATCGGAGCAGTTTTCTCGGGTCTTTTTATTTGCCTCACTGCTGCCTGAGAGAGTTAGAAAAATATGACCCTAGAATAAGTGAAGCATAGATATAATGGTTTTAACCCTTGTATATCACTGAACTATTTAATAGGATGAAATGAGCACGTCTTGTTCATAAACAAATGATTGATTATTGATGAAGTTATAGTAGGCAAATGATATACAAAGAAGTGTTTTATGCTGTTTATATGAAAATGCTTAAGTATATTAATCAGTTACAACAGATCTTTTTTTGAAAACAGTAGAAGAAGATATAACAGAAAAGAAAATCACCAAACGACCATCTGAGCAACCTCTGCCTTATGTTGCTCCTCTCTCTCCTAAGCAACCCAAAATAATAGTGCCTGCCTCTAAAGGTAAACAGTAGTTACATGTTGCAAGATTGGGAAGAAAAGTCACTCTGCTATCACTTATGTATGCTGTTGAGTGTTGGTGTTGGGAATAGGGGGGTATATTTCCTCAAATCTGTTTGGCAGTTAGCTATTACTTTGGCAGCTTTGTTGAGAACTTCATTTCCTTAAGAAATACACAGTTGTCATTTCTCCTTAGATTAAAGAAAAACAATTATAGAAGCATTTCCCATTCAGCTTTGTATTGCTAAAAGCTTTATAGGAAGAGGAATAGAAAAACCTAAAACATTTCTCCAGTGAAGTTTTTTTTTAAGTGCCCAAGTAGTAAGCAAATATTAGAAACCAACTGTGTATTATAACAAATAGTTGTGAAGAACTGTATTCGTAAAAATAAATGTTTTAGTGAAGTGTTCATAGTCTTGGTGGCAAAACTGTCAAGGGTTAGTTATGAGAAAAATAGATGATGTCATTAGAATCAATTTGGATTTCAGGACAGTGTCCATTACTATAAACATCATGAAGGGGATGGCCATGTGCTTTGTGTTAGAGGTTTGTAGTTCATTATAGCATGGCTTAAGTGAACTATTGTTGCCAATTTAGGGGATTTTTGACATTTTAGTAGTATTCAAACTGTAAGTCTGTTGAAGATAATTCCCTTTGTCTTTTTTCTTATCGCCTTCATATTTTTTTTCTTGTAGAGGAAGTATTACCTTCTGAGGAAGATGGCATGGCCAAAGAGGAAAAGCTTTCTGAAGAGTCCAAGAAGTCACCACCTAGTTCAACAAATTCTTTGAGTCCTGCCAGAAAAAATCCTATAAGCACTCATACTCCAGTCTCCATGAATGATTCTCAAAGTATGCCATGCACCTCAAGCCCCAAAGTGGTGGAGACCAAATCATCTATCAAGAGTAGTCAGCTTGAAGTTGAATTTGAAATGCAGAGGGAAAGTGAAGGTATTTTCCAAAACAGTGATTCTCATCCGATGGGTTTGTCTTTCCCTTTAAGGTTCCCATGCCCCACATCATCCCCTGAGAGTTTATCACATTGGAGAAATTGTCAAAATTGAGGAGGTAAGAGTCCTCCCCTTCACATCATTGTCAGGGCCAAGCTGCTGCAGATGCTCTAACCCTCATGGCATTACAGAACTGTTTCTGAGAATCTGGATCACCAGTCATGTTTCTGATAGAGACTTCTCATTTTATTGGTTTTCATTCCATTGTAGTTTCTCATTTCCTTGGATACTGTCTGGACTCACAAACCTTGCGTGACTCTGAGGGCCTAGAAGGATGCACTTCTTCTTCATTCTGATATGCTCCCTTCCTTGTCCCTCTTGAGATCTTTCCTGGCCCCAGCCTGTACGTGGCTCCCAGATCTTGGCTCTGGCATCCTGTTGCTATAGCCATTTCCCTGTTTTCCACACTCAGTTGTTCCCTCACACCCACCAGGAGAGCATGATGTGTATAAACCGTACAGCATTCTACCACTCATTTAGAAAGAGCCAGAACAGCCTTCCATGTGCAAAGATAGCTCTATCCTGTACCCTTTTAAAGATTAAGGATGTTGGGGTGGAGGGAATAAGTGTTTTGTCTTTTTTCACCAGATAGACATTTAGGCAAGGTTGAGGAATAAAGGAAGTAGGAATCAACTCAATCCCTTGCCTTTTATCATGGATATCATCTGTACACATGCTGTGACACATTTAATATTGTCACTCCCATCTCATATACCCCATATAGATTGTCTCTGGTTTTGGAGTGATTTTTGTAAAGAATCAAAAGATAGGTGTTCATTTTATAAAGGGGTAGTGTATCGTAAGTTTTTAGATATTTTCACTATATGAGCTTGTGAAGATAGGCCTTCTTAGAAGAAGGCTCTGAAGGTTACTTCTAATGCTAAATCTCATTTCCAAATGTATGTCTAACACTACCATGCCAAAGTAGCCTGTTTTGGGGTTTGAGGATGCTAGCTTCTAGTCTTCCTAGGTGTGGAAAGACTTAATAGTAATAAAATCATCATCATCTTCATTACCATTTGATATTATGTGCCAGCACATAATATTTTACATTGCTTCATGCATTACATCTTTACAGCAGTTTCTTGAGATGTAGGTGCTGGTAAACATTTTCAGATGAGAAATCTGAGAAGTCGCTTAACTAAGGTCTCCCAACTAGAATTTTTTTTAAAAATTCTTAAAGTAGCATAAGAATCAAAATCCTTAGGAATATATTTATAAGACCACAGCACAGAAAATTACAAAACACAAAGAAATTAATTTCAGTTGTAAATAAATGGAAGGATATACTATTTTCATGAATTAAAAGATTCATGAAACAAAAAATGTCAAAGTCTTTCACACTTCTTAAATAGATTCAACTCTCTGTATGTGTATAAAGGTGAAAATCAGTTCTAAAATTTGTATATTTTAAAAGGCCAAGAATCTTTAAAACATACTGAAATTTAAAAAGCAAGTAGGAGGACTTCCTCTACCTTAAATATTAAGCCCATGAAGTTAAAACTGTGGAAGGAGTGAAAGAATAGACAACTAGATATAGACCATCAGCTCAAAGTATTTCATTGCCTTTCACATATCTATCTTTCCCCTTCTTGCTGTCTGCATCAGGAGGCCGATCTGAGTGGACCACATCAATATGGCTCCTTTGAAATGAGTGCTCTTATAAAAGAGGCTCCAAGGAGAGCCTTTGCCCCTTCTACCACATGAGGGGACAGCAAGAAGGCATCACCTCTGAGCCAGGAAGCATACCCTCACTAGACAACCAATCTGCCAGTGCCTTGCTCTTGTACCTCCAGCATTCAGAATTGTACGGAAAAAAATTTCTCTTGTTTTGAAGCTACTCAGTCCTCATTTGTTAAGGAAGTCCAAATGGATTAGGGCAGAAACAGAGTAGGTGAGTGGTTGCCCAGATGGAGCTTCATGGGGAGAAATGGTGGGTGACTGCTAGTGGGAATAGGTTCCTTTTAGAGATCACTAAATGTTCTAAAATTGAGAGTGGTGACAGTTGCACAACTCTATGAATATACTAAAAACATTGAACTATACAATTTAAATGGGTGAATTATATGACATATAAGTTGTATCTCAAAGAAGTTGTTATATAAAAACAAATCAACAAAAATAAAAAGTACCACAATAAAACAAAAAAAAAAAAAAAAAGAAAGTGGCTGGCCAGTCCAGGCACTCTGACTCCAGGGCTGTACATCTTCAGAGAATAGGTAAGCATTTCACTTTATTTTCCTTAAGGTGTTGGAACTGTTACTTAAAGCTGAGTCTGCCTTGATTTCTGATGATGCCTCCTGCCTTGCCCCACCCCGATATTTGAATGAAACAAATTGTTGATTTTTATTACAGGAAAGAAATTCAGTATCATCTGGGATAAAATAAACTCACTTTCATTTCATTTATACCAGAAATATTTACTGATCTCCTAGTGTATATATGATAGAGCCATTAAGGAGAAGAGTGTGACTGGACTTTAATTATTTTTCATATAACTATGTGAATAATACTACTAATGTAATATTTATAACCTTCTCTGATTTTCTTGAAGATATGGGCCCAATTAAAGTATTTTTCCATGGTAGGTTAGAGATAGGTGGGCTCACAGCTGTTTTATTTTTAATACAAAATTATAATTTTATCCCAGAAATCCTGTTTTTACATATAATTTATTTGTAGTAATCTGTAAAACAAGTTACATGCTATTCAAGACATAACCATACCAGATTCTGATGACAGAAACCAAAAATCCCACAAAATATGTTAATTTAGAGGTATGAATAGCCTTGCCAGTAATTTTTTAAATATTAAATTGAGTCTCTTGAGTTAAAGGAGAAGACTTTTCTGTCTGAATTGTTAGAATGCCTTAGGCATGACATGGTCTGTATCATCATCACTTTTACTTGAGTTGATGCAACCTAGCAGCGTTTCTTGGTAGACCATTTTTATTTCTGACAAGTAGAAAGTAGGATGTGAGTGAAGTGAAGTCACTCAGTCATGTTCGACTCTTTGTGACCCCCATGGGTTGTAGTCTATCTACCAGGCTCCTCTGTCCATGGGATTTTCCAGGCAAGGGTACTGGAATGGGTTGCTATTTCCTTCTCAAGGAGAAAGTAGGAAGATTTTAATGAAGAATTTTTATTTCACATCAAAGTTACGATATTTAAAAAGAAAATATATAAAATTCTGAGTACACCAAAAATTTACCATTGCAAGTTCCTACATCTTCTGTTTTCTTTGCCCTTTCCTTGGGTGAATACCCAAAATACCCCTGAAATGACTAGAGCACAGATGACAGGAAAGAAAAGGTTCGCTTTTGGGTAATTCACACACATGAAAAGATCAAATTTGTGTTGATGGTCTTTGTTTAGAGAAACAAATCTTCCTAGTAAAGCACCAAACCCACTTCTGTTATCATATACTAACTTTAGAGAGTCAGGCACTCTGGTTGAGGAAACGAATACGTGTCTGGAGAGAAAGAAATTTTGAGGACAACTTAGTGAATAGCACAACTATAACTTTTTGAGGTATGAGCACTTAAATTATTTCATGTTTTGATTTCTTTTTAAATATATAAACCTTCAACCAAAATATCTATCACTATGCAGTGAAATTTGAAAGAGGTATTCAGTATAATGTTAAAGTTGCTTCTGACCTAGCTAAGTACAAAATAATCTTGTTTTCTTCAAAATTCAAGTAAGCATTTAAGCTTTGAGAGACAGGAGTTTAAAGAATAAATTAATGCTAAAAATAATCCTTATTGAATACATGGGAGAGATTCAGTGAAAGAACTAATTTGATTCTCAAGAGATAATACGGTTTATTGAAAATTTATTGATTAAAGTGAATTAATTTAAACAATTATAAAACTGTAAATTCTGGAGATTTTCATTGCAATTAGCTAGCAAAAGACTCAAACCTAGTCTTGAGTCTTTTCTCAAGAGGAGGAAGATTGAGAGAAATTCTTCAAAATACTTGAAGAGAGCAATAGGTTAGCTTAGATTAACCTTGATTTAACCTAAGTTACAGGTCTTTTTCTGTATTTATCTGTGGCCAAAGAGGCCTTGGATTTCTTGGTCTGCATTATGATCTTTGAAACTCTAGGGTACATTCTGAAGTTGCTTTTGTTGTTTGGGGGAAGTCAAGTGGGACATTCTTGGGTAGTTATCCTCAGGTCATCTTTATCTAGGCTTTCACTAAATTTTTACCTTTGGAATCCTGGGTCCATGCTGGGGTACTTCACAGAACATTCCAGGAATGATAAAATTATTCCCTGCTTAACATCTTTTCTTTCAGGATAATGATCAGGTCAAGTATGATTTGTCTTTTTTCCCCCCCAGTTGAAGCTCCAAGTTATATAGCTGTACCTGACCCCAGTGTCCTGAAGCAAGGCTTCTCTAAGGACCCTGCAACCTGGTCTGTGGATGAAGTGATACAGTTTATGAAACATAAAGATCCTCAGAATTCAGGCCCCCTTGCTGAACTCTTCAGGCAACATGTAATGTATCTTTTGATCCAGTTTTCCTGCTGTAATGACTTTGAATTATCTCTCTGCAGGCCCTTCAGTTGGTTGCTGATTAATGTGGATGGTGGGGGAACCCTATCAACTGATTTTTCCATATTTAAGAGAGTTCACTTTGCCCAAAGTTAGATCCTTAAAGGGTAGAGGCTGGATCTGTGCTTTAAATGGGTACCCAAGTACCTAACATATTACACGTCTTTGAGTTCTCAAGAGAAGATGATTCAGCATGGCCACTCTCAGGTGTCTTCTCTATAAGACCAGCTACAAAGATCCTCCCCACCTGCTCCCTGCTTGGCCCTGAGATTGTGAGTGGGAGGGAATGACCACCTGTGTAACATGGTGTCCTTATTACAATGCCTGATGAATTTAGTAACTGTGCAGCTTTATTTTAAATAGAAACTCAGGAAGATCAAACATACTTCCAAAACATAAATTGTTTTATTAAGCAAATAAATAGTATTAGGAGGATACCTTGTGTCTGTTAAATAATGCTTATAGTCTTTTCTAACAAATCAAATTCATGACCAACTATATCCTTTTGTATCCTTTTTCATATTGTAAGAAAATCAGTAATATGTTTTAGCATCTAATTAGCTTCACATAATTAAGTGAATAGCTTTCAACATAAAGACAACACTGTTTAGCACATTTACAGTTTTCATTAATACTGGCATACATTCCCAGCCTTTCTAAGAAAGTTAATAACCATCTGAAATTTATTTCTACAATTCATAGTCTTCTATCTACCCTTTGTCATAGATATGTGGTATTTTATTCAACATATAGTTTTTAAAATCAGAGAGTTTGATGCGAAGGCTATTTTTCAAAGATACTGGGTTAAGTTTACTTTTTCTTAAAATTTGAAGTGAATTTAGAAATTTTCAAATGATGTTTCACATATAAGTTATGTTTTTAATAGTTTTCAGGAAATAAATGCACATTCAGAGAATATATATTGAGAATGTACAGCTATTCTCTATTTACATGTTCTTATATGTAAGTAACTTGACAAAATGTGAAATCAGTGTTAATAATTATAATTTATTTCTCTCTATAGGAAATTGATGGGAAGGCTCTGCTACTACTCAAAAGTGATGTGATTATGAAGTATATGGGGCTGAAACTGGGGCCAGCCTTAAAGTTATGTTATTATATTGAAAAACTTAAAGAAGGAAAATATAATTGAAAAAATATATGTTTAGATTAGACATAATTTTCAGTTAATTTTCAGTTGTTTTGATAACTTTTAATTTAAAAGTATTTTTATTCTCATAGCAATTTTTGTTTTGTAGACAGTTCCTCTAAAACTACATTATATCCAGAATTGCAGAACTATAAGTCCAGTCTACTTCTTTAAAAGCCATTAACATGTTAGTATTAGCATATTCAAATTGGCAGTTCTTTATCTCTGTTTATTATTTTATTGTAGAGTTTGCAAATACACTTCATGCAGGAAACAAAGAAACACCTTTGATTTTGGTTAATGTTTATATGTAAAACCAAAACAGCTAAATCCCAAAGGGGAAAGTATCAGGGACTGACAGGCTCTCTAATGAAATTCATGCGAAGTTTTCCTTAGAAGAGAATTTAAAGATGCAGCTATAGATATCATCTCTTTCTCAAATACTTTATCTGTTACTGCAATGTTCTGTTCGTGTTCTATCAGTTTCCTGAAAGGGAATAGCCATATAAATTATCTTCCTTTCGTTACTATTTCTCTATATGTTGTATTTGTTCATATTTAAAGAAAAAACAAGCTTATAAACTTTCATAAAGTGTTTTTATCAGTTTTTGATGAATTTTGAACAATTATAGAGTGGTTGTTCTATGCAGGAGATATTATAGTACAAGGGTGGTTTTGGAGTCCAATTAAATTTTTTAAATGAAATACTTGTTATTTCAAAACTTTACATGTTTTCTCCAAGCTTAGACATTTAACTTGGAATTCTTTCTCACATCTTTATATGAAGAAGACTATCCCTTTTCCAGCGGATCTTCCCAGCCCAGGAATCAAACCGGGGTCTGCTGCATTGCAGGCGAAGTCTTTACCAACTTAGCTATCAGGGAAGCCCTTACATGAAGACACCTGTGCCCAAATTTTAAAATATATATATATTTTATTGTCTATGTTTATTCCTCATATGACTTCAATACTGTATTTATATATTATTCTATACTTGTAGGTATTCAAACAAGTTAACCTGTTCTTTTTGAATTTAATATGGCACTTTGCATTGCCACAGAGGTAATGGTGAACTATTTATATAGTTGGATGTTTTTATTCTGAAAAAGTATTTGCATCATTTGCTATCACTAGTACCTCTCAGCTTAGTCTTCAGGGGATAAGAAACAATCCACAGATTGGTTTCCATACAGGGAAGTTCTCTGTCCTATGCAATGTTGTTAGTTAATTTGCTTAGTTCTGAGCCATTTATTCTGCTAAATTTTGGAAGATGCATTAATTCTGACTTATCATTTTGGGTTTTGCTTTTAAAGTTAGAACTTTTGAGGGGAAATGGTGCTATATGTTAATTGTTATTACTTTGTATAACTTTGGTGTAATGTTTATAAGCTATGAGAATCTGTGCTAAAAGTATTAGCCATTTGTTATAAATGCCAATAAAATGTACACCAGGGGCAAGAATGTACATTTTCTTTTTTAGAAAACCAAATGTACTTTATATGAGAATGCTACTATTTAAAGGGTGGTTTCATCTATGTTATTCACTTTGTGTTTTAAGACAAAATTCTAATTTAAACTATGTCTTCTCTCAAATTGTTCGTGTGAAGATGCTGTGCCCAGTTAAACAGTCCTCAGGTGTTTGTATAAATACTGTTTTACAGTTTTCAGATTTTAAAATATAATAAAGTTAAATAACCTCAATTAATGTGAAAGCCTCAGATTTTATTTTACTTGCTTTTACCACATTATATTAACATATGAATCAGTTACAGTTGAAAATGAAGCACTCTAGGAAGTTTGTGTTTTTATGTGTCCAAATAGTTGGTTTTAACACTTGGCCTCATTCTACTGGTAAACAGATTCTTAGGAGCAAAGGGCTTATCTTTTGCAGGGGCCTTAAATGAGACCCCAGGGAGGCAGTAAGAAATTAAATCAATGAGCTTTATCTGTACTCAAAGCTTTTGTTACTTTGGTGATGATGCAAGCATGCTAGAAAATCGCAGTGCCCCCAGGTCCCTCATCCCACCAGAGTTTATGACTTGTGCTTTTTTTTATGGCTATGCTTTTGCTGCTGGAGGCCAGAAGCTATACTGCTACTCAGCCTTCAACTCTCCCAACTTATGTGTTGGAAAAGCCCTGGAGGCTCAGGGTTGTGGTTGAATCGCCTTCAAGATTTGACCCCTCAGTCCACCTGTCCCAGGAGCTGGTGCCTTGGAATCCAGAAACTCTTATCGCTGTTCATTGGAGATGACCAGGTCCCAGTTGAGGCTCCAGGGATGATGATCTCAAGTAACTGGAGTAGAGGTGTCGATTTTCACTGTGTGGTTTGTAAATTTTTGTCCACAGACTATCATGCCATGTTAGCATGGTTTACCTGTGAACTTAATTAATCTTTGCTCTAGTTTTCCCTCTCAGTCTATCCTTCAACCTCCTGTAGTCAGCAGGACTCTGCAACTTGAGCCCCAAAGCCCTCTGGACACATCGAGCATTTGCTTTCTGATTTTTGTCTATGTAACTTCTAATCATTGGAGAGTTATAGTACATGGTGCAGAGTAGAATTTCCCAGACTTCTAAATTAGGACTCCCTCTGTAAGAATGAAAAAACCATCAGTTCAGTTCAGTTCAGTTGCCGAGTCAAGTTTGATTCTTTGTGAACCCGTGGGCTGCACCACACCATGCTTCCCTGTCCATCACCAACTCCCGGAGCTTACTCAAACTCATGTCCATCGAGTCAGTGATGCCATTCAACCATCTCATCCTCTGCTGTCCCCTTCAGCTCCCGCCTTCAATCTTTCCCAGCATCAGGGGCTTTTCAAAAGAGTCAGCTCTTTGCATCAGGTGGCCAAAGTATTGGAGTTTCAGCTTCAGCATCAGTCCTTCCAATGAGTATTCAGGACTAATTTCCTTTAGGATTGACTGATTTGAGCTCCTTGCAGTCCAAGGGGCTCTTAAGAGTCTTCTCCAACACCACAGTTCAAAAGCATCAATTCTTCTTTGCTCAGCTTTCTTTATAGTCCAACTCTCACATCCATACATGACTGCTGGAAAAACCATAGCTTTGACTAGATGGACCTTTGTCAGCAAAGTAATGTCTCTGCTTTATAATATGCTGTCTAGGTTGGTGATAGCTTTTCTTCCAAGGAGCAAGCATCTTTTAATTACATGGCTGCAGTCACCATCTGCAGTGATTTTGGAGCCCAAGAAAATAAAAGTCTGTCACTTTCCATTGTTTCCCCATCTATTGCCATGAAATCATGGGACCAGATGCTATGATCTTAGTTTTCTGAATGTTGAGGTTTAAGCCAACTTTTTCAGTCTCCTCTTTCACCTTCATCAAGAGGCTTTTTAGTACCTCTTCACTCTCTGCCATAAGGGTGGTGTCATCTGCATACCTGACGTTATTGATATTTCTCCCAGCAATCTTGATTCCAGTTTGTGCTTCATCCAGCCAAGCATTTCACATGATGTACTCTGCATATAAGTTAAATAAGCAGGGTGACAATATACAGACTTGATGCACTCCTTTCCTAATTTGGAACCAGTCCATTGTTCCATGTCTGGTTCTAACTGTTGCTTCTTGACCTGCATACAAATTTCTCAGGAGGTAGGTCAGGTGGTCTGGTGTTCCCATCTCTTGAAGAATTTTCCACAGTTTGTTGTGATCTACACAGTCAAAGGCTTTGGCGTAGTCAATAAAGCAGAAGTAGATGTTTTTCTGGAATTCTCTTGCTTTTTTGATGATCCAACGGATGTTGGCAATTTGATCTTTGATTCCTCTGCCTTTTCTGCATGCAGCTTGAACATCTGGAAATTCATGGTTCATGTACTATTGAAGCTTGGCTTGAAGAATTTTAAGCATTACTTTGCTAGCGTGTGAGATTAGTGCAATTGTGTGGTAGTTTGAACATTGCTTGGCATTGCCTTTGTGTGGGATTGGATTGAAAACTGACCTTTTCCAGTCCTGTGGCCATTACTGTTTCCCAAATTTGCTGGCATATTGAGTCCAGCACTTTCACAGCATCATCTTTTAGGATTTGAAAGAGTTCAACTGCAATCCAAGTCTATGCCCCAACCAGTAATGCTGAAGAAGCTGAAGTTGAACGGTTCTATGAAGTCCTACAAGACCTTCTAGAACTAACACCCAAAAGATATCCTCTTCATTATAGGAGACTGGAATGCAAAAGTAGGAAGTCAAGAGATACCTGGAATAACAGGTAAATTTGGCCTTGGAGCACAAGATGAAGCAGGATAAAGGCTAACAGTTTTGCCAAGCATTGATCATAGTAAACACCCTCTTTCAACAAAACAAGAGAAGACTCCACATGGACATCACCAGATGGTCAATACCGAAATCAAATTGCTTATATTCTTTGCAACCAAAGAATATGTGCCTCCTGTACAATGTCATTCCAGCACCTCTACTAGCTATGTTTCTAGTGATGCTTCCTAAGGCCTACTTGACTTCACATTCCAGGATGTTTGGCTTTAGGTGAGTGAGCACACCATCATGGTTATCTGGGTCGTGAAGATCTTTTTTGTATAGTTCTGTGTATTCTTGCCACCTCTTCTTAATATCTTTTGCTTCTGTTAGGTCCATACCATTTCTGTCCTTTATTGTGCCCATCTTTGCATGAAATGTTCCTTTGGTATCTAATTTTCTTGAAGAGGTCTCTAGTCTTTTGCATTCTATTGTTTTCCTCTATTTCTTTGCATTGATCACTGAGAAAGGCTTTCTTATCTCTCCTTGCTATTCTTTGGAACTGTGCATTCAAATGGGTACATCTTTCCTTGTCTCCTTTGCCTTTCACTTCTTTTCTTTTCTAAGCTATTTTTAAGGCCTCCTCAGATAACCATTTTGCCTTTTTGCATTTCTTTTTCTTGGGAATGGTCTTGATCACTGTCTCCTGTACAATGTCATGAACCTCTGTCCATAGTTCTTCAGGGACTCTGTCTATCAGATCTAATCCCTTGAATCTATTTGTCACTTCCACTTTAGGTCATAC